CCCCAAAACCCCAAAACCCCAAAACCCCAAAACCCCATTAATCCACCAAAAATTGAACAGATCATAAGAATATTTTTAATTCTTTCTAAATTATTCTTATTTAAAACCAACTATTTCTTTTTCTTGGGCTCCTTAACGAATTTGTTCTCAATAAGGAAGTCACATGTTGCGTAAATACTATCATCTACGGAGACATATTTCTGTAAGCCAAGCTCTTTGGCCCCATATGCACCATCAGGCTCTGCTTTTACGCCCCAATGGTAGTAGATATTACGAGCATCTGCGTTACAAAGGCTGAACATCCAGACGACGCATTTAGGAAGCTCCTTATTTCCTACCTTATAGCCCATTGGTTCATATCTATCTTTGATCAACTGGACTAGTTCAACCATTCTAATAGTGGCGCTATTTATTGGATATCTTCCAAGATGGTCACCCTTATCAAGAGCATTTACATGAGCTTGAGCCACATCCTGGACATCAACCAGTGGGTAGTATACTACCGGGACTCTGGGGAACTTGTTCTCCAAAAACATCTTGAACATGTTCAGTCCTTCGCCTTTCATTATTGGGACAAAAGGTACTCCACTAATTCCTCCAGGATGAATAAATAAAACATCAAAAGTTCTTTCCTTCTTTCCTTCAAGCTCTTTAACAAATTCGATAGCAGCATTTTCAGATCTGATTTTACTCTTAGAATAAAGGTCTAGCTTTGGGCTTTCTTCCACAAAAGAGTCATAACTGTATACTCCATCACCCTTTTTATGATCACATATAGTCAGAGCAGAAGAAGTAATAACAACTCTTTTGACACCTGAACCAACACATGCTTGTAATACATTGATATTTCCATCGATAGCAGGTTGGATCATACTCTTTTCTGAGCCCTTAACCTTTGAGTCAGGCATTGGTGAAGCCACATGCAATACATATGTAACACCTTCGACTGCCCTCTTGATCGCATCAGAATCTTCTAGAGAAGCTTCAACAAGTTCAAACTCATCATAATTATCAGGGCAATGTTCTCTAAGGGCCTTATTAAAAGGTTCCATCTTTTCTGCATTATGTATATTTCTGCCTGCACCTCTGACTCTGTATTTACCTTCTTGGAGGATCTTAGCGACTATCCAGCTGCCTACATATCCTGTAGACCCGGTCACCAACACGATAGGTTTGGATGATTCCATTTATAGTAATTATTAATACAGATCTTTATTTTCAAATATATTCCATTTAAGGGGTTTTGGGGTTTTGGGGTTTTGGGGTTTTGGGGTTTTGGGGTTTTGGGG